GAAATTTGTACAACAAATTATAATAAATAAAAACATTTTATTCTGACATCTCAAACAATACCCAAAAATTCTAAGATGTCAATCATACAAAGTTAAGTAACAATTATTAACAAGCATTATACGGTTAGGATCTTCTCAATTTTCTTCTTGTGCAATTTAATTATACTATTAACTCAAGATACACCTGTTAATTAAAGATCAAATTTAAACGATTAAGCTAAATTTAATTCTATAGTAGTCATTCTACTTGTTTAATTCAAGAATCTTAATTTATTTATGTAAACAAGCATTCAACAAGGATTTTAGAGAATTTCTTGATTATTAAGTTTGTTCTTAAAAGCTTAATGATTGAGGATTTATTTTTTTTAAAATGTGTTGGATTAATACAGTGCAATTTAATAAAAAAAATTCAAAGGATAAGATTTTCTTACTACACTTTATGATCGTATTTCTAATGACAATGAATTTAGACGGTTAATATTTTGAAAAAATGCATTAAGATTCATATGAGTATTTGTTAATTATTTAGTAATTTTGTCAAATATTTAATTATAAAAATATTAATATAAGTAATTTTTTAAAGGAATCTAAGCATAGTGACAATATTACCAGTTATCTCTATTGAAGAAATATTGTTTGCTTCACTTATCAACGATACATTACAAAGACATATACAAGCTTAAGAGTTAACTAAAATTAAGATTCACTTCGAAGGATAATAAATCATTCCTCCATAATCAAAATATATTTTTTTATTCTATGTAACCTTTTTAATTTAAGAAATAGACAAAGCTTTTCTTTGAAAATATTTTGTAAATAACGAATATTGCCTTTCCGCCACCGTAGGCACAGACAGTGTCACATCACAAACTTAAACCACGGAAACAAAAAAGCACTGAAAAACAGAGTAGTCTTGGACATGAATGTATAATAACTTATTTAGATTACTTATCCGTACGCTTAAAATTTTCAATATTTGAATACTCCATTTTCAACACACTGGGTATTAGAAATAAATTATAATATTTGTTCCTGTATGGAAGGATCGTAACATTCCTATTTATATATACTGTATCAAAATCAAAAAATATTAAAATAAACTTTTTTCACTTCCATTTTCCCTCCTTTCAATAAAACGCCATTTCAATAACATACTGTCTTGTCGTTTTTGTCACTATTAAAAAGCCATTTATTAATTATTAATTACTGTTTATATACATTTTCAATAAAAATTAAATTATTAGTGTAAATATTGTGATTTTATATTAATATGATATATTATCTTTAACACTTGATAATTTTTACGTTAATAAATAAATTTTTTAAGTAGGAAAAATCTCGTCACTTTGAAACCACAGTAGCCTTTCCGAGCTGGGATAATTGGCAGGTAAAACACCACTTGTGATCAATACGCAATTCATTATTTAACAAATGTAACAATGAGCAATTCATGTTGATGATAAATTTTCTAAACGTCTTTTATTATTTATTAAATAACAAATTAAGGCTTGACTTAGCAATGCTTGGTTCAGTAAGGTTCGGCCCTTACGGTAACTAATAATAATAATATATTAATTCACAAAAAAAATATAAATTTAGTTCTTATAAGTAATTTTTATTTATAAATTAACTTTTATACCTAAACAATTTAAATTTGTCTTTATATAAGTATTTTAATTTTATTATGAAAACATCATTAAAAAATACAACTCAATGATAATAATATTTATTAATGATGTTATAATAAAAATAATAAAATTTTAGTATAAAAACTTAAACTTTAAAATTTCTATTGTTTATATATGTTTGACGATATCTATTTATAATTTTCTCTTACACAAACACTTTGCATAAATAAAGACAATTTTTATATACTTTTGTGTTACATAGACCAAGTAAACCATATACTTTTGAGTACCACATGTTATGTATATTCTTAAATTAGGTAAGTCACATGTTATGTATAGTCTCATATGTTATGTTTATTATTCTTAAGTTAAGTAATTCATATATTTTATGTATATTTAAGTTATGTTTGAGAGTAACATATAAGAAGGAAGGAGAGGGAAGGAATTAAATTTTATTTAATAATTACTTAATTAGGATGAAAAGGATTTAAAAGTTTTTTTAAACCCTCTAAAATCTAATTTTTTGAGTTCTTTCATTTTAAAAAGTTTTCTCTTATTCTCTCTCTTGTACTCTTTCATAATTAACATTTTAATTTATTTTTTTTAAATGTTAGTTTTTCAAATTAAATTTTTTAAAAAATTATAAAAACTATAAATATTAATTTATAATTATTAATTTTTAGAAAAAATATTTATTTTTTTAAAAATAAAAAATATAAAAAATACAATAATATCATTTATATAATTAAATCTTCCATCATCATCGATTTTTAATATTAAACATTTAAATAAAAGAAAGATTTCCTCCTTTTTTTTCACGTTTCAAACTCTTTTCTTCTTTTTTTTTTAAAATTTTAAAACAAAATTTTATACTTTTGAGTTAAAAAAAACTATATATATATATATATATATATATATATATATATTTTGAGTTTGATAAAATTATTTTGAAGTAAAATTTTTATTTTAAATATTTAACATAATTATATTCACTGAGACTTGAATTCGAAACTATAAATTAGATTAACACAATTCTTATCAATAGAATTATGTCCCAGTAACACTTTATTTACATATTATTTTTAATAATTAGTATTTTATAAAAAAAAAGTAATTGAGAATGAGTTTGAAATAAAATAACTAACTTTTTAAAAAACATATAAAAAATGTTAACATAAAATTAATTTTTATTATAATATATATACTGATAATATACAAATATTTTATGCTATCAATTATAAATTATCATATTAGCAAAAATTGTATTTTTTATAATAACTAGTGTAATGCTTTGTTTGAGATAGACTAAAATAAGAGAAGAAAAAATAGACTAAAAATAAAAAGTATAAGAAATATGTTATTTAGATGGATAGAAAAAGAAAAGAAAGAAAAAGTTATTTGTTTATATTAATAGAAAAGAATAAAAAATAAGTAACTTGTATAATTTTTTATACATATTAAAAAAATTCATAATTTTTTTATTATAATACTTTTTTGAATAAATAATTTATTTTAAATATTTTTATATTACAAAATTATTAATTGATATAATAATAATTAAACAGCCCGCTCACATGTCACATTCCCGTCCCATTTTTCCTTTTCATTTACCTGTATTTTTCAAGGGAAGATGAATATGACGAGTCTTGCATAATTTTAATTATCACTTCATATATTCAAACAAATAACAAAATCTTACTTCTCCCCTTCTTTTAAAGTCATTTTATTTCTTTCTCTCTTTGCTCATATGAAACAAATTAGGGTAAATGTGTAAATTTGACCATTTAAAATTGAATTTGAACCTGTTGATAGTGCATGTTCCAACCTTTTTATATTATGTGGATAGAATGTTATTATTTAAGAATTATTTATTTATTTATCAGTGTTTGAGGGTATTGGCTAAAAAACTAATCAATAAAAAGATTATTAAATCTATATTAGAAGTATTTTAAAACTAATAACATTTCAATAAACGTAATATTATTGTAAGTACCTAAGAATTCATATTAAAAAAAAAAACTGTTTTTATGGCAAAAGACGGCTCGGAATGAGCTTGTTCGTTTATCTACACTTGTTTACCTTTTAATTCAAGTTTCTGCACTACTAACTTCCAAATTCAACGTCATATACATAAATACAACTATTGAATTTCCATGGCGTTTCGGTTATGGAATCTCCCTCCCCCACTTTTCAGCTTGAAAAATGTATGCAAATACAACAAAGTGATATAACTGATTTTCAAAAAGAGGACACAGAACAAGCTGGTATTAGCTATTACTGATTGCATTCATACAGCTGGGATAACTTACAGGGAAAAAGAATATTAGCTTCCCGAATACTCTTCTTTTTTCTTTTCTTTTCTAAAATTTAACCTTTTTTTAAAAAAAAAATTTAAAAGTGAAGATTCTTTATTTTTCTGAAAGTTATTGGCCCAAAAAACACATTATCGACACCACTTGATTCTAAGCCTTCTTTTCTCTTCTGATTGAGAAAGGAAACGCTTATTATAATATATAATATTATCAACACCAATTTGCATCAAAAGGTCTTGTTGGCCCCTTATTACCACTTAAAGATTCACCTTCATTTTTCTAACATTCAAAAAAACGTTTAAACAGGATAATTCATCACCATTCAACCCAAAATTATTATATTATAAGATTTACGAGAGTCTCAACAGCAATGCATATTTTATAGAAGCTTTTTAATTGAAAAACCTTAGCTTCTTAACTTATAAATTTATGAGTACTTACAATATACATTAAGAACTTACATATAAAAAACTTTTATTATATTTTATTTGTTAACTAATTACTAAAATAATTCTAAGATTAGTTATCGCTCTAATTATTCCAAAAACTTCAACAACAATTTTAATAGGAGTATTTTAGTGCGTATAGTTTTATTTTACTATAAAACTAATAAATTAATTTATTTTTTTAAAGATACATGCATTAGTATTACGTATAATCTAATATGAGACAAAATAAATATTGTCTATTAATTTCTTATCATATCTCATTTATCTACACATTAAAAAATAATTTATTTGACGTTATAATTCATTATGTATTTTTATTCTATAAATATTAATAGAGAAACTTATCCAATCTTACTTACTTCAAATTTACTAGATAGTCATAAATGAAGATACTTTGAGTATTGGAGGCGATGGCAGTGAAATCTACTAAATGGTGAATATCCAGTGCATGTACGCTTAGATAAACTAGATAGTAAAGTTCACCAAAGTACCATAGGATGATCATAATTATATGCATGGAATTTGGGCAAGGTGTGATGAGTCAGAAGAAATTAGCTAAGGAGGATAAAATTATCATCTCATAAAAAGTAGAAGAAGTGGGCTTAGGCTATAAACAACCAAGAAGGTTACCTTACATTCCACGTTTCTTCCACCCCCAAACACCACACCAGTATTTATGGCCTTGTTTTCCTCTCTGGCTTTTCTTCTCATATTCCCATCATCTCCACCCTCTTCCACCTTCACTTCTTAATCCTTTTCTTCCCTCATTCACATCTTCACCCTCCCTCTCTCTGCACAATTCTCTTTCAAACACCTCAGTCACAGTCTCTTAAATTATGGAAAACGTTTCAGTGCTAAGTAAGGAAGAGGATCAGATGGATTTGCCACCTGGATTTCGGTTTCACCCCACTGATGAAGAGCTTATAAGCCATTACCTCTACAAGAAGGTCATTGACACAAACTTCTCTGCAAGGGCCATTGGAGAAGTCGACCTAAACAAGTCTGAACCTTGGGATTTGCCATGTAAGTCCAACTTTTAACTAATCATTCACTTCACCCTTTGTTTTTTCGCTTTTCGCCTTTGTTTTTATCCCCTTTTGAAAAAAAAAATGGATTTTTTTGTGTGTGGGATTTTGGGTGTAGGGAAAGCGAAAATGGGAGAGAAAGAATGGTACTTTTTCTGCGTGAGAGACAGAAAATACCCCACTGGGTTGAGGACCAACAGGGCCACGGAAAAAGGATATTGGAAGGCCACAGGGAAAGACAAGGAAATCTTCAGAGGAAAATCGCTTGTTGGAATGAAGAAAACTCTTGTTTTCTACAAGGGTCGAGCCCCCAAAGGAGAAAAAAGCAACTGGGTCATGCATGAATACAGACTCGAGGGTAAATTCTCGGTTCACAATCTCCCCAAAACTGCAAAGGTATAATAATAGTGCTCTGGTTCCTCTGTTTTCTCCTTTATTTTCTTTCATGATTGTTAGAGAGTACTTGTATATAATGAATGGTGATGGATTTTGATCTTGTGTTGCAGAACGAGTGGGTGATTTGTAGGGTGTTTCAAAAGAGTTCAGCTGGGAAGAAAACCCATATTTCGGGGATAATGAGGTTGGATTCTTTTGGGAATGAATTGGGTTCTTCTGGCTTACCACCCCTCACAGAGTCCTCACCTTCCATTGGCAACAAGCCCAAACCACTCACTGATTCGGCTTACGTGCCCTGCTTCTCCAGTCCAATTGATCTTCAAAGAAACCATGAAGGCATCTTTGATTCCTTCACCAACCCCATTTACGGGGTATCATCAAATTCACTAGATATTCTTCCAAGAATGCAACCTTCTGCCTCATTCTACTCCATTCAAGGTGTTCAAGTTGCGGCTAATTTTCAATTTCCAGGTTCTGTCTGTGGTGATCAGAGCATCTTAAAAGCCTTATGTGAAAACAACGGCTCAAACTTCACCAATGGTTTCAAGTCAGAGAGGGACATGATCAGTGTCTCGCAGGAAACGGGTCTTACTACTGATATAAACGCTGAAACCTCTTCTGTGGTATCGAATTTTGATATGTGTAGGAGACCCTTCGACAATCAGAATCATGCACCTGCTTCTGTTGCACTTGCAGCAGTGGATCTCGATAGTTTCTGGAATTACTGAGTTCTAATCGAAGAACCATTTAGAAAAAAGAACCAACTTTTGAGCTAAAAGGAAGAGCCTCGGTTACAAGATGTCTTCCGAGATTGGTGGTGTTATCTCTCTGTATAGATTTTATCTAAAGGATGTATCTAATGAAGCATATGTTATGTTTTAAGTGTAAGAAATCTTGTGAAATTAAGCTGGTTTTGTCTTATGAATTTTGATACTATTATAGGCTTGGGGCTGGCATGCCATGAGCATGATTATTTTCTTTCATCTTGGATTAAAAATCATAATAGAATGAAAAATCATGATTATGTTATGTACCGTAGCTTGTTGATCTTGCTTTTCTGGATTGGAACAGTATAGTCCAGCTAATTCTGACACCACGAACTTGAGTCAGGTAATGTTTGAATTGCGTATTTTAATATTAGAATGTGGGGACTTTACAGTTATTACCATTGAAAATCAAGTTCCCCTTAGTTCATCTCTCTCTCTCTCTCTTTGGACACACGTGCACGCGCATACTTTGACATGGACAAATATAAACGAACTTATCTGCATTTACCTACTATGTAGCTCACTGTATAAATCATGACTCTGAAGTTCTTCTCACCCCCCCCCTTTTCTCTTTCTGTTTACGTGCGTGCGTATTAATGATAAGACAATATGATTCATTGTCAAAGGCACAAATTCAAACATTTTTACCTAAAACATCTGAGGATATCAGCTCTAGTATTGGTGTTGATATTTCACACCACTCTCTGATTTATATCTTTCCAAGTGTTTTTATGTTGCATTATTAATATGAAGGATTGGAAAGGCTGATATCCATACTAATCCATTATCAAGCAACTTATAAAAATGAATTTTATTTACCAAGATGAAAGCGTTTTAGAATAGTTTGTGGTGACTAGTCAAGATTCAAGTCAAGTGAGAACAAAGAATTTGTGCTAGTGCAACCGCCAACATATTGGTATTGAATATGACATACATAAAATCCATGCAGGACCAGTTGCAAGCCACTCCAATACAAAATCAGATTACAATATTTAAAAAAAAATTATGGTCCAATATATTATTACCCCTTACTTGATATATTTTATTTATCTGATGTTCTTGTAGATAATTTTCAATCAAACTCCATCCCATTGAAACAGCATTTTTGGACTGAATTTTCTGTAAGCTATATATGACAAATAAATATAAAAATATCTCTTCTTTGGGGGGATTTCTTTTACTGAAACAGGAACGCTGTGGTTTTGTCTGTATTTGTGATCATTTATTGTTTCATTCATTCATTCATTTGAATTTGTCAAATCATCCATTTCCCATTTCATAATGTGCATGCATTCCGTTTTGAAGCTGTAATGGCATGACATGAGAACACTGATCTTCTTTTTCTTATTTTGTCCAAAAATACAACATACGTATGTCTTTTGTACCATGTGGTGTTTATATTTATGGCACATGATAAATCCTCTCAAAAGTCCATCAATTTGAGTCCTGCACGTCTTGATCCTGAACTGTATGAAAACACTGCCAATTTGGCTTTTAATATTTTTTTCGCCCAACTCCCTTAGCATGATGGCAATTAAATAAATTACAAAAAATCTCACTGTTTATATTTCATTTTCTTCACGATATAATGACATCAATCCAACGCCATTATCCTTTCTGAAAATTTTTAGGTCCCTTCTACATGGGCCAATTAAGTGTTTAATTTTATTTAGGATATTTCACTGTGGGAATGAGATTGAAATAAATAATTAACTTTCTAGGATGTATTATAAGTTTTGTATTAGAATGTGACTCTATCCTCTGATTGGTGCAATTATGGTATAAGTTTAGAAACGCCAACCACCTTATCATCATCGCATTAGTGAGCACAGGGGCATTACGGGTTTCAAAATTGGATTATTGAATTATGATTAGGTCGTTAAAGGTAAAACTTTCGCTTTCAACCAGAGTAATTTGAGTAACATAAAAACTAAGCAATGAAAGGAAAGTCATCCAACCCGTAGCGCTTTTCTGCACATGCTAGGCTCTTTCAAAGTGTCACACAGTATATATCTTGAATGCACTTTACATATGATTTAATTTTGTTAACTATTCTTTTTAGAGCTATAATTGAAAAATATATAATATTTAATATTATAAATGTATTTTATGTATTAAGTTATCAAACAAACAGAAGAGATTAATATAAATTGAAGGGTGTGAAGGGCATTCACAGCTTGGGCTGGCACCTGACCTTAACTTAACTAGCACTGGCAGTGTGTCCCACTCTTCGTGATGTCAGTCTAAGGAAAAAGTTAGGCCTTTTTAACGGTCGACACCTAAACACTCCTATCTCAGGACCCCACCCCGCTGCTATTTCCACTTCCACTGTCCCTGTTCCTCCTCTTCCACATGAAAAATAATAAAAGTAAATTTGAGTCGTGTAGTTACATATATGTGATCGAAATTAAGATTTAATTTACATATTACTCGCAATTTTGTTTTTGTGAGGGGTGTTTTCTCATGTTGAGTGCTAAACGAAGCGAGTGCGACATTTCCTCGCGCCCCACCTGATGCCAAATGTCGCTAGCTATGTGGTCGTCGTCATCTGAAGCAGAGTGTGTTGAAGTTGTTTCCAATATGCTGGAAGTAATATATATATTTTTTATGATTGAGATTTTATCATATTTTAATAGGTTGAATATAATATAATATAATATTTATTGTGTAATAAAAAGAATATAATAAATTTGGAGTGCATAAAACTCTGTTCCGTGTGCGAGTGCCCTCTCAAAGTCCAAAAGGCAAAAATACATTTCCATTATTGTGTTGCTGGCCTTGATGGCCCACGCAGCCCCAATCATTGTCCTCTTCATGAGAAAACTATTTTTCTAAACCCCAAGCCCCCAGCTCAGAAACAAATATTCATAGGCCACGTTTGATTAATATCTAAACATTTTTCTGATAAAAAAATATGCATGAAAAAATTGTCAATGCAATTTTTATATAATAATTTTGCACATATCTAAAGCAAATCTCTTTATTATGCTTACAAAACAATGAACACTAGTTTATTTTAATGATTAAAATTCGATCATATATATAATAGATAAGTGAATAAAGCAAGCGAGTGATTGAAAAATGAAACAAGTACAAGAATAAAGGGCCATTGGAAACGACGTCTATGACATCATAAATGCCACGTGTCATTAGAATGCTCGGCTAACCACAATGTTGATGGCTACTATGATTAGTTAATGTCAATTATTTCACACACTTAACTGGGTGTGTTGTACATGAACTTCCAAGAGGGTATCCAAATAAAGTAAGTGGAAAACATTAAAAAAGAGAAATTGAATTGAGATATGGAGGGAGATTTTGTTTTGGTGCAAAGAATAATAAAGTTTAATCCAAACCAAAAGGGGGAAAGGTCAATCTTATCCTCGTTTCTTTGGCCTAGTAACCACACAAAATGATTGCACTGTGGTGTAAGAAGGAGACATTTGGAAAGAAATGTCGATTTGCGCGGAAAAGGCAATTATATAGTTAGTTAATACATTCCTTTTATGCATAAATAAACTAATAGTAAAAGGGGATCACAGTGAAGAAAGTGATACGCATTGATCAAAGGGCATGAGCATGTGGGTGGCATTAAATAGTTTTGTTACCTTAAGTGAAAGGGGGTGAAGAGAAATGTGTTGGAGAATGGTGTTTTTGATTTGGAAAAGATGATATAAGTTAGGATGAGAGGTTGGGGAAATCCAATTGGCACTTGAATTGAAGCCCACTCGTTGGAGTTTTGTTTGGGAAGGGAATGGTGCCTCACATGTGGACTCTTTTTCGTTGTGATTATTCATTACATAACTTGTAATCGCATATGCGACAAATCTTTTATGGTAACATTTGTTCATAGTTGGGTAAATTAATGCCAAATATTTCAACCTTCTTACACTAGCTCACTACACTAAGACGCTCAATTTTTAGAGAATTGGCATCATATTCATCACTATGCTTGTCATAACATCAAAAGTTTTTATATCCTGTGAGGGCGCTACCTTCCAACTTTCAAATATCCACAATTTTTTTTAACTTTCTATGATAATTAGTATCCAAATTATATTCATCATATATTTTTATTTTATCTTTTCTTCAAGACAGTTTAAAACAACTTCATGTAAGATATTAACAAAAAGTTATTATTTTATAATAATTAATAGAAAATATTTTGATTTTGAATTTGTTTTAGTTACAAAAAACGATTTCGAACCTAACTCAGTTTTATCATTAATCGATTGGAAATGAGTTTGGACATGACAGAACTTATTTGAAAAATAAATATATATATTGGGTAAAAAGTTTAATTCATTTTTCAAGTTAATTTGATTTTTTTTAAGATCTAAACCATACACAACCCTACTAGTCTCTGTATTTAAGTATTGTAAGGAAGAAGAAAAAAGAAAATCCTTATTAAAAAGGAATACATATATAAATTCTCGCCGGCACAACCAAATATAATGATTTTGTGACGATATAAAACAACGTGTTTCACTTTTGTGACAGAACATACACAATCACAATTGAGATTTATCCGATCACAAATTTCTAAAACTTCAAAGTGAAATAAATTGTTAATTTACCAAATTAAATATCCAAATACAATCGAAGAGTATATAAACCGTACATGTCGTTTTCATTATTGATACACGTTTAAACAATGATTTCTTGGAAATTAGTTTTAATGAGTGATTAGATTTTGAGAAAAAAGTACACAAGTATTCTCCAATACGTGGGTGGTATTATATTTACGTGTTTAAATACTTTGATTCATCACCTCTTTCTTACCCCCCCCCCCCTCCCAAAAAAAGTTGATTAATTGGAATGCAATAAGAAAACACGCGTAGAAATATATGCAATTGCTTGCTTTCTTGGCAATTTCCGAAAGTTCCATCTTTAATCTCTTTGACTTGGATTGGAAATGATTCGAATTTGATATGATGGAGATGTGCCTCCCAACTTTGTGTTTTCTCAACCTTTTTGCAAACATTTGAGATTAAGATATATTCCTCCGTGACGTGACCTTTTATGTTGAATTTGATTCTCCATTACTCTCCCATTGTGCTATGTATTTCCACTAACTTGGCATGCATATGATCATCCAATTCCAATGTCAACTGATAGCAAAATCATATGCTGTTAAACTAAATAACTTGTTAGCCACATGAATGTCTAAATGGCCTAATGCTGGCCCATTTGATATCTCTATTTAATGATGGCCCATTTGGAAGGATATCCTTAAGAGGTCAAACACTGGGCTTGAA